GACTGATGCCCTACAAGTTGTACCCACTGACTTCCCTCGATAGCGGCAGGATTCCCTGCACTTGCTCTTAGACTGCGCCGGTGCAAGAATCGGAACATTCCGGCCCGAAACGACCTCGACCGTCCAACGCCCGTACAACTTCCCCCATCGAGAGGATGTTGTTTTCTGCCCTCCGAACGATGCTGCTAAGCTTTCCTATGGCAAAACGGCAAGAGTCTGGGTGTGAAGCAAAAATGCTGGAATTGTGACAGACTATACGAAGGAGTAAAAGACAAGGAAAGCTAGATTCACGTAAACTGCAAAGGGTGCCACTCTGGGTAGATGATGCCCCTAGCATGAGTAGTAGGCATAGGAATGAAACTCCTCGCCAGCCCTTCGCCGGAATCGACTCTTCCTGTCGATTCTTGGTATCCATACAAGACCTTTCGCCTACGATTCCCTTAATCCTGTGGTATACAGCTAGGAATACTAATTATAAAATAAAAACCTTTTGTTTTTCAACCGCAAAGTTTGCTTTTCATGCGAAGAGCATGAAAAGAAAAAATAATTTGGCATCTTCTGCAGTGACGCCCCCCGAGTTTTTGCGGTTGGGAAAGTTGCGGAAGGCTTATGAAAATTATCCGGTCGAACTACGGTATCTGATGAGCCTCTTCAAGAAGTAGTCTAGATCCCCCAAATGAGCGAAACTCATACGGACTTCTTTATCCTTTCAGCAATTATCCGCGAGGGGCACTGCGCTTGAGCTGCCAGAAAACCAGCAAGCTCATGCAATAAAATTTCGTCGGGGCGGGTGCTTTTTTTTCTCTTAACTCTTGGGGGCTCTGACTCCGCTCATCTCTGTTTTCATTTAAGGTTTATTGAAAAAAAAAGACTACTTCAATCATGAAAGTTTCTCTCGTCTGAAAAGCTTCCAAAAACCCGGGGCAACTGTAAAATAATTTCACAAAATCTAAGGAGTGCTTGTAATACCGACTTCTATTTCCTGTCTTATTTATTATTATTTTATTTATTTATTCTTCTTATTTATTTATCTTCTTCTTCTTTTTTTTTTTGGGGGGGGGGGGGGGGGTCTCTTTCCCAAATGAGTTCCAATTCGGCGATGGGGTCGGGTCAACGGAACTTAAGCGAAATCACAAAACTCGCGCTTCTTCGAAAAGGAAGCACTAGGTGAGGCAACGAGAGGTCTCATGGGAGATTTTCTAAGGGGAAATTTTTATCGAAATATTTTGATTGTTGCAGTAAAGAATCAGAAGTCGGTACACAATAGAAATTGTGTACCGTTTCATCGTCTCAAGAGAGAATAGGTTTTAACTAGGTCTCTAACGATGGCCTGATGAAATCGCTTATAAATTAAAATATGCCTAATTGGAAGCCACGTGATACTCATCAGTGGGCCACCTTGAAACGATGCAGACCACTTTTGGTCCTGTCCGGCCTGTCTGTCTCTCTATAAGGCTGTCAGTGGCTAACTTATTACCCATGAAGAGAAGCCAGCCGGCCATCGGACTACGCATCAACGTCAGGGACCGAGTGAGTTCACGTCCGACATTGCTCTTTCTATAGTATGATTCGGGGGGGGGGATATTGGTGATTAAAAAAAAACTCAGATGCAAAATATCAGTTTCGTCCGATTGTAAGTTGTTGGTATCCATTTTGAAAGCAGTCCACTTTAAAAAATAAAAAAAAATTGACTATGATATAGTTTAAACTGGAAACACGTAAATTACTATCTAATTTACGTGCTTCCAATTAGCGGGCTAAAAATAAATGTCATGGGAGTCCTGACATTTTGAAAACTGGCAAATTTCCATACAAAATTATTCGGTCGCATTTGGTAGTAGAAATTTTACATTCTGCTCAAATATATATAAAACTGAGCTGCTTGCTGCTTCGTTTTGTCTTCGATTTTTTTTTTTTTTTTTAGCAAGAGCTGATTGTTTCAATGATTGAATCACAATGTAAGTAAACTTTTGCCTTTTTATCATTTTTTCCCTTTTAGGCTTTTTACCTCTTTAGGTAGATAGTTCATTTCGTAGTAGATCAGAGCTTTTTTTTTCTCAACCACAACTTGGCTGCAGCAGCTCTTAACGGATACATTGCACCGGGAAAGTCAGTGGTAAAATCCAGTTTTTTTTTCCAGTTTCTGCCTGCAAAATCAGGGGAAATGCTCAGAAATTATACAGGGTGGCCCCAAAAAATGGGCACTCTTTTCAACTGGCATTTCAACCGAAAAAATTACTGAATTTCGGTTACGAAAAATCGGCCATGCGCTCACCGACCCCATACGGCGGCAGGAACATCCAATCATCCTCGCGACGTCTGCTGAGGTCAGCGTTTCCCTTCCCCTTCTCGTGAGTGTCGGGACGTCGAGTGGATATTGGGTCGAGTTGGTGAGCGCAACGCCGATTTTTCGTAACCATAACTCAATAATTTTTGAAAGTCATCCTTTAAGATATTTCAAGTATGAAAAAAGCATTATGTAGCTGAGTCTTTCTTCTATCCATTATATGTAACCAGAAAAAATATTCTCAAAAGCATCACACCTAAAATGCCAGTAGAAAAGAATGCCTTTTTTGGACCACCCTGTATATTTAAATCTCTCCATGCTGCAGTCCTTTGATTCAAGCTGGAGAAGGATCGGCGATCACAAAAGTAAAAACAAGAAATGGGGGATACAATCGCCAAATCGTCAAAAGACAAATGGGATAAATATTTCACTAGAAGGTTCAAGACATCCGGTCGACTGGATGCTAAATATGACTTTAAATGTTTCAAGTGGCGATTAACGAGATACCAAGTTGCCAAACTGACGACCGGATTTTCAGCTCAAGAAAACTACAGGGTGAGTCAAAAGTCTGGACGCATAGGGAACTGAGCTCAATATGTGTTTATTGCACGAAATGTTACAATATGTGTTCTATATGTTGTCCATCGTTCTCCAGACATTTCTGGATTCTTTTCCCAAATTCGCTGTGGGCTTATTCCAGGACATGGGCCTGGATTGTAACATTTCGTGCAATAAACACATATTGAGCTCAGTTCCCATGTGTTCAGACCTTTGATTCACCCTGTATATGCCTAGACCTATTTAGGTTTAACATTCCCCCCCGTGTATCGTCATCGATCCATCGAGGATTTCTTCAAATATTTAGATTGGAACTTGTTATGAGAAAAATCTCCGTTTGATATAATTGATGCGATGCGAGGCGCCATGCCTCGCGTCGCATGAAACGACGGGAAAGGGTGTTCCCCGACGACGTGCGTTGTGGAACACCCTTCGTCGTCCCGTCGGAGCAGGTCCTCCTTTTCTCCTTGCTCGCTGTTCTCACGTGGAAAAAGCGTATCGATCGGCTCGAGAAGGCACCGTCTCTTCCCACTTCATTCTCATGCCCCACCCAAGCGGCGATCGGGTTGAATGGCCCCATCTCCGTCGGGTAACCGGGCAACCCGTAGATCCACGCCTAGGCCTCAGGTTCGGCCTATGATTGGATTTATCGGTGGGTCCTGGGACCGAACGACGATGTCAACGGCTTGCGATGCGAAGGACCCCGAAAACATTTTCAAATTCGTATCCAAATCCGGAGGGTTCGTGAAAAAAGCTCCACGACCGGGAATCAGAATAGGACTGGCCAGGATGATGAGCCCATAATGCTCACACCCGACTGGCACACACACGGTAAGTCAGTTAGCTAGTCAGATAGCTTTTTTGAAAGTATCCCACAACGGATGCTTACTCTGGATTGGTGCCTGACTTTATTTTTTTTTTACTCCATGTCTTTTCTACCTAATTCGGGGATCTTTAGAATATAAATAATAAATATATGTATATATTTCCCATTTTCATAAACAGCATAATCATGATCCGATGATTCTAGTCAAATTCGCTTCATAAAGTAAGTACCTCCTTTTAACTCGTTCGACAACATAACATAGTCCTTTTTAATAAATCATAACTACCCAAAAAATCAAACAAGATTTAAATAAAAGCAATCAGCACCGTTTTCTGCATATTTGAGTATGAAGTCTCTCTCATCTAGCAGATCAATGGTATTTTGTCGTGAAATTTGACAACATTCAAAATTGCAAGTATTTCCATATTTATGTAATCTCTGCAATGTGATAAATCATACATTACTGACTATTTTGACCCTTGTTTACTATCACTAGCAACAGCCCTAAAATGAAAGCGCTCCCTTAATGCAGATCCAAGAAATTGCAGCTTGAAATTATGCAAAAAAAAGTCACGATTTCATTCAACTTTGGAACTGTATTTCCAAATGAAAATACGTCGCAAGCATAATTGCTAGGCAAGTTCAGAATCAATTCAAATTCAGGATATCTACTTTAAAAAGAAAATATATTAATAAAAATTGACCAGTAACTTAGAAAGATACTAGCGATAGGGTAAACACCCCAGTTTTTGGCCACGCTGATACGACTCCCATAGGAAGTGGACACCCTGTGCGCACACCGGGAAACACTAGTAATAGGTCCTCGTACGGGAAGATGTAGACAGAATGCTTGAGAACGGCCAGATTAACTAATTATGCTGGATTTAAGCCTCACTGGTCAACAACTGGAGACCGGCCAGAAACCGGGGTGTTTACCCTATAGTCAGGGCCGGATTAACCCATGGGCTTTAGCCTTAGGCCCTCACATTTTTAGACCCTACTTTAGGCCCTCCATTCCAAATTTTTTTTGTAATATGTAATTCATACTTAGGTCCTTCCATTAGGTCCATTAGCCTTAGGCCCCTCATAACCTTAATCTGGCCCTGCCTATAATAACATCATTTCCTGACAAAATGGGCTCCGTCCCCCCAAAATATATTTATTTTATTTACACCTGAATGATGCTGATAATTTTCATTCGTGACTTCACCAATACCAATTGTCAAAAAGATGACCAAAGCAAAGTCAACAGCACGAGAACTCGTTTCCCAGTTTGGGTGAGGCGGTATGAAACGACCCCAATTGCTTTTCCCTTCGGCTCAAGTCAAACTATTCGTTGATGGGGGTCTTGATGAGAGCTTTGCGAGCCAGAATTTCCTTTTCGTGGTTCGGATCGTCCCGATCGCCGACCTGGGAACGATTCCTTCTCCATCACCGCCATTCGCGGCTGTTGACAGCGGGGAAGATGCCTTAGCACTACAGAAGACGTACGTGAATGTTCCGACGAAACAATTATCGAATTTGCGTCCGACAACGATTTGACGATAGTGAAAGCAATCGTCCACAACTGGAGTCTGATTCACGTTCTCATATTTTGCTCACAGGTTTCGATGCAAAACCCAACTATCACAGCTACTCACCTCGAGCCACAGCCGAACTCTTCGATTTTGAAACCAGATATCGTTGCAGATAACTTATTATTTATCTTCTTGAGGATTCGTGAAGACGCATTTTGATTGCTTCCTCGATATAACAAGTGCTACAGCTGTTCTAAACTTTTACAAGACGTCATTTACGTTCTCTAGCAATTGCAATCGAAATGTCCATTTTTGTGATGGTAGCATGCGAATGACGCCAGCAGCAGTCGTCGTCCCCCCCCCCCCCCCCCCCCGCC